TTTTTTAACCTCAGAACTCTGAGCTCTGCAGCTGACCAATCAGAGAGTGGGGGGTGCAGGGAGAAAGCTGCCTGGCAGCCACATAGGAATCAATGGGGGGAGCACATTTTACCCCTTTTGACCCACTTAGGGGTCACATTTCTAAAAATCCCTTCTTAGTGAGCACCTACGCCATGGTAGGAGCGCTTCCCCCAAATCTGGTGTCTCTAGGTCCAGCGGTTTGGCCTGGGTGTTGATTTTACAGTGAGGGGACTTTCTTTTATATATATAGATGGGAAGTCTGAAATGTAAATCTTTAATACTTACTGGTTAATAAAGGAAAATTATAGTTGCTAGATTTCATAAAAGCAAATGAAACAAATATATGTTCAGTTCCCATACCTGAAGTTTAGTATACACTGACTTCACTTATTTACTCATAGGTAATGTTAACTCTGTTCAATGGGACTTGCTCCCAAGAAAGCATGCATAGGATAGGAATCTTAGAAATTCCGTAAATTTCAGAATGCTTAAATCTACAGAAAATAGTAAAGAATATCTTTGGTTACTTGCCTCTGTATCACATTCTGTACAGTTTTGGTATATATTTTCCATCATCTTAGTAACATCTGTTGCTGGAATTCCTTCAGAATGAAGATAAGCCCGACAATAAGGACATGTCCATGTATTATTCCTTAAACTTGTAGCAATACAGGAGTGACAAAATCTGATACAGGAATGAAAACAAACAGCATTATTTCCCCATATAACTCCACTTCAAAGAAAATAATTTGAATTTGACACAGTTATGGTCACTAGTGTATATGACCTTATAGAATGATAGGTTCCTACTACAGTTCTTGCCTGTTAATCTTGTTTGCTTAGGCATCCAGTCTACAGGACCACTGATAAGTGAGCTTACAGAAGATAGTGTGTTTTCTTATTGTGTTTTCTGATGGGGCTATCTGTGCATTAGCAGAAGTTACTCATTAGCATCCAGATACCTACCTGCTTTTTGGCAGAAAGTGCCAAAGCAGGATTACCACTGAACATGAAGACAAAAATAATGAGCACTGAGGAATTACACAACTTGAAGGTTGATGAAGAAAATGAAATTGTTAAAAAAAAATTATATTTCTTGGCTCATAATCAACCAAAAGGGAAACCGCAACCAAGAAATCAGAAGGAGATTGAGACTGGGAAAGGCAGTCATAAAGGAGCTAGAAAGGATCCTTATGTGTAAGGATGTGTTGATGGTGACAGAGATAATTCATACCACAGTATTCTCCATTACTGTGTATGGGTGTGAAAGTTTGATAGTGAAGAAAGCTGAGAGCAAGAAAGGTGATTCATTTGAAATGTGGTGTTGAGAGTTTTATGGATATCATGGATTGCCAAAAAGACAAATAAGTGGGTTCTAGATTATGCCTGAACTCTCTCTAGAGGCTAAAATTATTAAACTGAGGCTACCTTACTTTGGTGACATTATGAGAAGGCAAGACCCGCTGGAAAAGACAGTAATGCTAGGAAAAATTGAAGGCAGCAAGAAAAGTGGAAGACCCAACATGTGGTGGATTGACTCAATCAAGTTAGCCAGAGCCCCCAGTTTCCAAGACCTGAGCAAGGCTGTTAATGACAGGACACTTTAAAGATCATTAATTCATAGGGTTGCCATAAGAGGCAAGTGACTCAACGGCACTTAACAGACCCCTATCCACTAGTGATGACAAACTTTACTATGTCTTCAAAGCACAATGGGAGTGATCAAGTGCTGCAAACTGAATATAAAGCATGCCCCTAGCCCTTTCATTTCTCCTTCAGTGGGGGAAGTCATCCAAACTGGTTAGGTCACAGCTCCTCTTGCTCCAGGCAGAGCTATGCAAATTTTTATAGACTGTATTGTCTCAGAGCAAGGCTGACCCTTCAGTCTTCCTTCCAGTTTCGATAACCCAATGGGTGTCGCAAGCATTTTAACATTGGCTGGATTATGCCTAAAGAGAGAAAACTACAAATAGCTGTCTAAAAGTGTTGTGCTGACATATCCAGATAGTGATTCAAAGAACTAAATTGTTTATGTGTGTATAGAATGCCATGATCCTTTGCAGGTCTAAAAGAAATGCAAAATTCTTTAACTATACCTCCAGTACTAATTCCCAGATTCAACCAGACATAAAGAATATATACAAATTAAGCCCAAGAGCTGACAGTAGGAACTGAAGTTGATCTTATTTCTGAAATTATCCCTCAATCGACAAGATGAAATCAGGTCTTGTGGATGATGCTTCTAGCACATTGTGATGCTTCTAGCACCAAGTACATAAGAACTAGCATGCCAGATGTCCCTATGCCTGACAAATGGCAGACTGCCAGAGACAGTGTCCACATGGCCCTTGAGATAATGTTAGGAGTATGATGAAAGCTTTTATTGATGTTGTGTCTAAGCCTGCTGCAATGAAAGCTGGAGCAATAAACCCATGCTCTTTTTGAAACTTTGATTCCCCCCCCCCATAGTCATTCCCACTCACTTGCAAGTTAAACATATACAGTGGTGCATGGAAATTGTCTTGTGTGCCACACAAAGCAGTTCCTCCGTTATTCTGTGTTGATCTGAAAATCCTTTAGCATCAGTGAACCAAGGACCTCTTACTTCTTAGAAATAATATTCTAACAGAAGTAATATTTTAATGGAGGATGCGATAACTATATATACTACCCTACACTCAATGAAAGAAGGATGAAATTAAAATGTGATAGTGAAGGCATACTGGCATATTCATGTATAAGTAGATAAACGCTGAATTTTCAAGTTTGAAAGTCAGTAGCAGCATTTTGGGCACACAGTTTCTACTGTTTTAAAAGCTGCATACAAGAAATGGGTGAGTCATATCCAGTCTTTATCCCTCTAAGGAATAAAGAGAAATACAGGAAAAATGGCTATGGGCACAATAGAAACAAACATTCTAGTTGCTTTATTCTCTTAAATTTCTTTCTTAAAAATGCACACAGTCTTAAGGGTTAACACTTACAACATGTGTGAGAGCTTGTGTCTTTAAATGTCACAAAATATAGGCCAAGAGAGCCCTTTGTCCCTCTAATTGTCAACAAGGGAAGTATACAGTGCAAAGAAGGATCTGATAACAATAGGTGAGACACAATCCAGAGAAATTTAAGAAAGCTTAAAGTCCCCTTTGGATTTCTATCAATTGTCAACAAGGGAAGTATACAGTGTAAAGAGGGATCTGATAACAATGGAAATAAACATAGGTGAGACACAATCCAGATAAATTTAGGAAAGCTTAAAGTCCCCTTTGGATTTCTATGCTCACACACACACACACAATTTTAGCCTCATTGACTTCAGTACCTCTTAAGTGTACTAAAACATGTCAGGTTTCTACTCATAGAAATGTATAATATATCTAACAACAGCTTATTACTGGTCAGTAATCTATACAATTGGTTTGAACATATTTTAGGATAGAACATGAGCAGGCTTAAAATGATTCAAAACTTGTCTTTAATTCATCTGTGTCTATTCACAAAGCTCTATGAAAGACTTTAAAAATTCAATTTCTGTGCATAATTCAGGCTGAGTTATGGCAATCTGGCTGGTCCTGACAGGGCCAGAAAGACTGGATACAAACGTTGTAGATAAACTGATTTATTAATTTAACATTTTTCAAATATTACTTTTCTATGGTATACTAAAGATGCAGACCTGGGCTTACTTACTTGTGAGTAAACTCTGTTAAGCTTAACAGGTAAACTGGTAAGTAAACATACACATGATCAGACTATGATTCTCAAAAGCACAGGAAAGTAAATATGACCACAAGTGACAGTCCATGGCTGCAATCCTATGCACATAAGAACAGCACAGATGCTCTCCTGTTTCAGCCAGTGGCAAACCAATTTGCCTGAAGGTTGAACAAACAAGGCATAGAGGCCAAGGCCTTCCCCTGATGTTGCCTCCTACTGCTGGTATTCAAAGGTTTACTGCCTCTGTGTACTGGGGCTCTGTTTAGTAACATTGGCTAGTAGCCATTGATGGACCTATCCTCCACATATCTGTCTAATCCTCTTTTAAAGCGATCTATGTTGGTAGCTAACCCTACATGCATTGATCAATGAATTCCAAAATGTAATCACTTGTTAAGTGAAAAAGTACTTCTTCTTGTCTATTCTAACTGTATTACTTTCAACTTCTTTGGATGCTCCTGAGTTCTAGTATTATGAGATGGGGATAACATTCTCTGTCCATTTTCTCCACCCCATTCATAGATTTATAAACCTCTATGATATCTCCCCTTTTCTCTGGCCATCCCTCATAAGAAAGGTGCTCCAGTTCCTTAAACACCTTGGTGGTGCTCTCCTGCATTTTTTCCAGCCTTGCAATATCTTTTTGAGGTATGGAGATCAGAACTATACAGTGATCTATACAGAAACATTACAATATTACACCACAAAAAAGGCAAAAATTCCCAACAAAAAAGATAAAGTAAACCAAAGAGATTGAGAACACAAAACAGGAAAAAGTAGTATAATTCAATATACAAATGAATCGATTCAATTGTGTGCACAAAACATAACACCAGTATTTTAATATATGATCAAATCAAAAAGAGGAAACAAGCCCAGGCAAGCCTGATCTTGTCAGATCTAGGAAGCTAAGCAGGGTCGACTCTGGCAAAAAAACTCCCCCTCAAAAAACCCGGAGGTGGGGGGGGGGGGGGGGGGGGGAGGCTTTATTCAGCCACCTCTCTGAATATCCTACATGCCCCTAGTAGGGGTCAGTCACCAGAGGTTGGCATGACTTCCAGGTGTACACACAGTCAGTCACAAGAGGTCACCATGACTTCCAGGTGTGCGTGCACACACTTGCACTTATGAAAAAATACCAAAAAAGAAAAGAAGAGGAAACAAATGTGCACATGCAATAAGATAACACATCATGCCAAGTAAAATAAAACACAATGCCAAACATGTTTCAGCACAAAGCCTTCATCAGTGGCATATAACTATAATTAGTACAGTCATATCACTCTCATACTATGAAAAACATAACAGATCACAAGAGCCAGTAAAATAACCCAATTAAAAACCTGCAAAAAGATTACACAGAACATTAAAACCATCAAATACAAAACATGTTTAAAAAAATAAAATATACATACTTTAAATAAATCATAAACTTCTTATCCACAGGCTTCAATACGTTTGGCATTGTGTTTGGCACTGTATGTTATCTTATTGTATTGTGCACATTTGTCCATATATTAAAATACTGGTGTGATGTTATTTTTTAATGGGGTGTGTGTGTTCTGAACCTCTTTGGTTTATCCCACATTACAATATTGACAAAGTGGGGATTCAAACCTGGGTCTCCCACAAACTAATCTTAATTACTACACCACATTAGCTATTGTAGGGTGGCTGCTATTGAACAGTAACAAGCTACCAGGCCTCTTTAAGTCAAGCCACTCACATGATAGCAAGTTGCTGGGTGGTTGCTTTCAGGCTTGGCCCCAATAAATCCTCCAGCAAAAGGCAAAACAGACCTCCAACTTCCTCCTTGCCTTTTACTAATAGAAACCACTTGAAGGCCTAACAATGACCACTAAGGACACTCATTTCTTACAACTACAGGCTAAATTTCATGTTTTTCTGTAAATCTTGTGTTGTCTGTTCATGGCACCAATCTCTGGATTGAAGTATTCACAGATTGTCAATGTATTTAATTTGCTACGTGCTCAAACAGTGCACTTGCAAGGCTTCATGAGGGGTAGGGATCTCATTTCCCCTCCCTCCCCTCTTTCTCTTTCCTGAATCCCCACATAGTCTCTCCCCTTTCCCTGCTTTCTTCTCTTCTTCCCTCCCACCCACCAATCTACATAACCTTTTATCTACTCCCCCATCTTCAGCAACATTTGTTGTTTACTTACTTCATTTATACCTCAGCTTTCTCCACAGTGGGGACCCAAAGCACTTCACATAATTCTCATCATCTCCATTTTATTGTCACAACTCTGTGAAGTAGGTTAGGTTAGGAGTATGTTACTGCCCCAAAGTCACCCAACGAGCTCCTATGGTAGAGTGGGGGTTTGAACCTGGGTCTCCCACATACTAGTCTGAAACTCTAACCACTACACCACACTGGCTTTTGTGTGGCAGCTGTGGCTGAACTGGCAAATTGCTAGTCCTGAATAAGTCATGCAAGTCAAGTGTTAGAAAGTTGTCTGCTGGTTGCTGTTGGGGCAGGCCTCCATGACTCATCCTTTAAAGGCCAAAACAGCTCTGGAAAAGGCCCTGCCATCTCCCCCTGCCTTATACACAGAAACCAAGGCCTGAAGGTCTGCAATGCCGTTGTAGTTGCCTAGCAATGGCCACTGAGGGCATTTGTTTCTTAAAGCTTATAGGCACTACTATCATTTTGAGTTTTTAACACTCCCACTATAGATAGATATTTAGATTTCTGATTTCTTCTGTAAACCTGGAACTTTTCTCAGGTTTGTAGAAAGATCTATCTCCTCTGTCCATGGTTCCAGTCTCCAGATTTAATTTTCCACAGATGGGGCCACACTGAGAATTAGATATATTGATAGTGCCAATCTCACAGAAGCCAGCTGCCATACCTCCCTAAGTAGCAGTAAGGAAGAACTGTTGTAACATATTAAGGCTGCATCCATAAGAGCACTTTCCTGGAAAAAGGCCCATCAAATAATATTGTGCTTACCTCTAAGGAGGTAACTGGAGCCAGTTTGGTGTAGTGGTTAAGTGTGAGGACTCTAATCTGGGAGAACCGGGTTTGATTCCCCACTCCTCCACTTGCACCTGCTGATGTGACCTTGGGTCAGTCACAAGCTCTGGCACAGCTGTACCTGAAAGAGCAGTTTGTGTCAGAGTTCTCTCAGCCCCACCCACCTCACAGGGTGTCTGTTGTGGGGAGGGGAAGGGAAAGGAGTTTGTAAGCCACTCTGAGGCTCCAAGTGGAGGGCGGGGTATAAATCCAATCTCTTCTTCTTCTCTAAGAAGAACTTCTTAGGATTGCTCCCTTAACCACAGTAATTTTTCTTAAGAACATAAGAAGAGCCCTGCTGGATCAATCAGACCAATAGTCCACCTAGTCCAGGATCCTGTCTCCTCTGGATGGCCAACAAAAGGGCATAGAGGCCAAGACCTTCCCCTCATGTTGCCTGCTGGCTCTGGGGTTCACAGGCTTAGCACTTCTGAATGTGGAGGTTCCCCTGGGTCACCACGGCTAATAGCCATTGACTTATCCTCCATAAATCTATCTAATCCTCCTTTAACACTGTTTATTCCTGTGGCCCTCTGGCAGCAAATTCCACATTTTAATCACTCTCTGTGTAAAGTAGTATTTCCTTTTGTTCATCCTGAACCTACTGCTCATCAGCTTCATTGGCTGTCCTCAAGTTCTAGTGTTTTGGGAGAGGAAGAAAAACATCTTATAATCTAACGGCGAAGCTGGGAAATCTTTGTATAATACAATCCAGTGACTGAAGCTATGAACAGGAAAGACAGATCTTCCTATAAACTTGAAAAGGGCCCCAGGTTTGCAGAAAAAGTCTGGGGATGGCAAGGTTTGGGGGGAAGCCACAGCAGATATGTCATAGAGCCCACCCTTGAAGGCAGTAATTTTCTCCAGAGCGACAGATCTTGGTTGTCTGGAGTTCAGATGTAATTCTGGGAGATCTCTAGGTCTCACCAGGAGGTTAGCAACCATGGTTCTGGTAGGAACCTCTGAGTGACTTAATACTGCTTTTCTTGTATACCTCACCTAGGCCTGGCTGCTTGCTATTGTTCAACAGCAGTCACCCTATGAAAGCCAGTGTGGTACAGCGGTTAGAACTTCAGAGCAGGGTCGGGGAGACCCAGGTCTGAATCCCCATCTTGCTGGGGAAGCTCACTAGGTGATTTTGAGCCAGTCAAATGCTTTCAGCCTAATCTACCTCACAGGGTTGTTGTGTGGATTAGAAGGAGGAGAGAATAACGTAAGCTGCTATGGTCTCCACTATGGAGAAAGGTGGGAGTATAAATGAAGTAAATAAGTAATACATATGTAGCTGAAGGTGGGAAGCAAGCTGATAAAGTGGCTGAATGGCAGCGGAACTGTGGTACCACAGGGCTGCCAATTCAGGTTAGGAGATTCCTGGAGTTTTGGAGGTGTTGTCTACGGAGTATGGGGTTTGAGGAGGGGAGGGACCTCAGAAGGGTATGCCACAAGCTCCACCCAACAAAGCAGCCATTTCCTCCAGGAGAATGAGGGTTGCTAGTCTCCCAGTGGGTGCTCAAAATCACCCAGAATTACACCTGCTCTCCAGATGACAGAGATCAGTTCCCCTGGAGAAAATGGCTGGTTTGGAGCTATGTCATTATATTCTGTTGTGATCCCTTCCCTTTTCAAACCTCATCCTCCCAAGGCTCCACCCCCAAATCTCCAGAAATTTCCCAACCTGAAGCTGGCAACCCTAAAGAGAACTAATCTATGTAGCTGGGAAATCTGTCGTGATTCCAGGAGATCTCCAGCCCCCACCTGGAGGTTGGCAGCCATAGAAGAAGAGAAGTAGG